CTATTCCAACATGAAACTTGAATTGTTAGCACAGAAGTGTCAGTCACAGAAACGTTTTGGGATCTGTTGATTTGTGCAGAGTTCGTGATTTATACAGATAACAATCCCCTGAATTACTTACGAACAGCTGCTAGGTTGGGAGCAGCTGGGATGTACAGTTGCAGTTTACTACAAAATACCGCTCTGGTAAAAGTAATCAGAATTCTAAATCCCTGAGCAGAACAACTATGAAGAGTGGCTGTTTTGCTGAATGTGCCTCATATGTTAGTTTATCTTCTGCACTACCCAACCCCCTTTGTATGAAAATTGAAAGAATGACTGCTACTATATTGCTTAATGAATTATGTGTGAAGGTCGCACCAAAAACCATCTCTACATCTAAATTGTGTTTTTTTACCAGCTACTACCGGCTAAGAAGTCAAATACATTAGCATGTGCTAAGGAAACGCATGAACGCTTAGCACGGGCTACGAAATGCTAAGTAAGGATTATATCTGGCTCGTTTTTAAGAACAAGTCCAGTTCCTTAGCACGGGCTAACGGACTGTATTCAATGTTCATTTGGAAGATTTTCTATTATTTTCATAACTATTGATTTCGGTATGCCATTTCTGACATGGCAATCAATTGCAACGTGAACACATACAGGAACATTGTTCTTGCGAAAAAATAAACTGACGATGACAATTTGTGATACTTCTGCATTTCTTGAATTTGCTTTCGTATTGTTTTGTAATCGTAGCACTAACATATATACATTCCTAGTTACTAACCGCGTAATCATAGTGGAAATGACTGGGGATTTGTGTTTATTCTTAACAAGTTTGTGTGTCCTTAGCCCATGCTAGCCACTGTTTCTTACCGTGTGTGAACGCATTTGGTTCTATCCGATATGCAAACATATGAGATTTGATTAAATTTTAGCCTGTACTTCGTGTAGGAAACTACTGCACTCTTATCGACAATTAGTGTTTCCGTTGTAACCTCTAATCTAATTTTCAACTTTTGTTTGAAGCCATGGATCTCTCATTATATGTAGAGAGTTTACTCATTCCAGGGATACTGCCAATGGTAATTCGATTGTGTATTTTGCGAAGAGTTGTTGTCCATAATTGGCAAAATTATTTTTATGGAATACATTGTTTTGACTTTTAGTTTAATATTTGTCGTCAATTATTATGCTCCTAACGAGCTGTACAAGTGGGATTTTAACAACACCACACACAAGGCAGGATGTCAGTACTCTAAGGATACTAGTATGTCAAAACACATGGACAAATATTTCAGTCGTTTTGTACCAATTTAGTAGGATGAAGTAGCACAGCAAAAATGTCCTCTGTCGGTATTACGCAGTCATCTGTATTTTACAACATGTTCGTATTTGACAAATTTTGTTTCACACGAACCTTTCGCTTTTTATCATTAAATACAATTACTGATTTATATGTGGAGAAGATTGTGTGAATGTTTTACTATTCAGCATATCTACGTTGAACAAGAGAATGGTTATATGGGGAGTGGCAAGGCATGATAAATAAAAATCATCTTGTGAAGTCCTTGAAGCGATAAAAGCAAGTGATGAGGGCACATTAAAAATATATTATATTTTACATCCAATTAAACACAAAAATGTACAAGAAAGCTACTTGGAAATAAATCTATGCACAAACAGGTCAGGCAAAGGTACCACATATTCGCTGCAATGTAGATTAATCAGTATTTCTATGTCTCGCATTGTAGTATTTTGATGAAAAAAAAATATAATGTTATTTGTGTTTGACGGGGATCAAGTAAAGGCAAAAAGAATGAGTATCTGTTTCGC